CTTTCGTCGGCGTCTGAGACGACGCTGGTGGCCGCGTCCTCGCCGTCCTCGTCGTGCTGCGAGCGCCCGCTGAGATGGGGTGGGAGAGGGGGGCAGCGTGGGGTGCAGGTCGTTGCTGGAACTATTCGGCGGCGCGCCGTTTCGGCAAATGGGTGGTCATCGCCGGCAAAGGATCCGACGAAGGCGGTGTATAGCTCCCCGACCGACGAGGGCGCGGGCGCAGGCTCGGCCTTGGCCGGCGTGCGACGCCCCCTCCACCGGCGTCCTCTTAATGCGCGCGCTCCATCCTCGGAGTGGTCGTGCCGGTCGACGACCACGCGCGCGGGACGGTTGAACGGGCAGCACGTCGAGGTGGGAGTAGGCATGCGGGAGCTTGGAACGACGGGCGGGCGAGAGGAGCTGCGGGCGCGGCGGCCGGCGCCCTGCTCAACTTCCGTGCGCTGCTCCTGTCATGTTCCTCCATGGACGCGAGCGCCCCGACCTGCCCCGCGGCCGCGGGCTGTCCCCGACGCCGGCATCGCGGTCACCGCCATGTACGCCCTATCCCATGCCGCGAACGTGCGGACGCCACGAGCGCCCCGCCCTGCCCCACGGCCGCGCGCGCCATCCCCGGTGCCGGCATCGCGACTGTCGCTGCGTGCGCCCTGCCCCACGCCGTGGACGCGCGTGCCGTCCTCGACACCAGCAATGTGGGCGCCACCGCAACTAGCCCACCCCAGCCCTGCACGGGCGAGCTCTGTCCCCGGCAACTACGACATTGCACAGACGAGCTCTCCCCGGCCACGTTCTTGAGGAGGAAGAAGGTGTCGAGGCACTTACAGCTTAGCCCCACCGGACATAATGATGAAGTAAGAGGATAAGGTTGTGAGAGAATGATAGTTTAGACATTGTGACCGGCTGGGCTCACATGTCAGGGCTGCCAAACGGTGGAAATCAGACGGAAGGTGGATGGAATGGCATGTGAGGTAAAAGAGTTTAGCGTCATGGCATCAAGGTGTGTTCGAACTTTTTAATAGCATATATGTCTAGACTATCTTTTATAATGGCACACAGGTAAAAGCCTCCCTTTATTTGCTGCTGGACTGTCAAACTCTCCTCCGTATGAATATCACGGACCGGACCAGACCGTCCGAACGGGACACTTGACTTGTAAATTTTTGAAACTTTGAATGGTCTTTGTTCGACTATCATTATAAGCTTGCTTATCAGATATAGTATAGTTGTTTTCTCTCATAATAAATTAGTTGTAAAAATCATCACAAACGACTTAGCCGAACAGATCCTAAGCTGCGCGACGAGGCGGCGGGCGGCTGTGGTGCGGTACGGTGCTAGCGTGCCGTGTGAGCGCCAACCGCCGCCGTCGCCGTAGGCCGAGCAGGCAGACTCGTTCTCTGCTCTCTTGCGCGCGGCGTGCACCCGTTGACAAATCGATGGTGAGCCACGGAGCCGATCACTCGCGCCACGTAAGAAAGTCAAAGCTCGCTGACGCCGATCTGGATCGGGGTCCAATTAGTTCCATATTTCTTCGCCGCAGCTGATCGATCATCTCAACCACCCAACGTGGAATCAAACGGCTGATATAGGGCCTGTTCGCTGATTGGCTTCTGTGAGAAAAAAATATGTTTAACTAACCGATAAGCTCTGACTAAAATCAACGAGCGAACAGATAATCACATAACATATGAAAATAAGTAGCTGGACGGCAGGATGCAGGGTAAAGAAAAATATGAAACTAATATGGTAATATATATAATCAAATCAAATCATCGCCGCCTTCTTTTGCGAGTAACATATATTATCACGTAATAATAATAATAAAATAAACTAAGAAAAAAGAGAGAGGACATTAGCAGCCTCATCCTACCTACCTACCTACAGTTGACGAATTCAATCCATGGAAACGCAGAAAAAAGCTTGTTTGAGAAGGAAAATTCCTACTCCAACTAATCAATTAATTAATGAATCAGTAGCTACCACTGGCGAATGCCAACTTGCTCAGCTATGGACGGACGATATTTAACACGTCGTTCAAAAAAAAACTATGAACACTTATCTCGGATAGTTACTCGGATTTGTTTTTTTGAAACGGATACAAAACGGATATCTTGTTTGATATCAAATACGGATGTAATATCATCGATATCCGGCGGATATCGGATAATCCGGAAAGAAACGGATATATCCGGATATTTAAAAACGGATATTATTTGGATATTTATTCAAAATTTTAAAATCACAAATTTGAACCATCTAAACTATCTCAAATGGAAAGTTGACCAAAACAACAATTGTAGATCTTGATGAGTTGCACAAACTTGGTATTCAAAACTTTTCAATTTGAAGTCATTTAGAGTTCATAATACTAGAGTCAAAGAGTTGTTTTTTCATTTGACCAAATTTGACTTGGTCAAACTTGCTCAAATGAGACACTAAATGACCTCGAGATGAAAAAACTCTGAATACCAAGTTTGATCATCTCAGCAAGATCTACAATTGTTACATAGCTCATTTTCTCATTAGAGAAAGTTTTATCAAACACTAGTCATAAATTCTTGAATCTCATATAGAACGGGCGAAGCTATGTCACACACTTGTGAAATTTGAACTATATTTTGTTCAAACTTTCTCAAATGAAAAAATGACCTATATAAGGATTGTATATCTTGATGAGATGAACAAATTTGGTATTCAAAACTTTTCAATTTGAGCGATCTAGGGGGCCGAAAACTAGTTTGCGGCGTCAAAATTTAAAAATCACAAATTTGAACAGTCCAAACTATCTCAAATGGAAAGTTGACCAAAACAAAAATTGTAGATCTTGATGAGTTGAACAAACTTGGTATTCAAAACTTTTCAATTTGAAGTCATTTAGAGTTCATAATACTAGAGTCAGTGTTTTTTTCATTTGACCAAATTTGACTTAGTCAAACTTGCTCAAATGAGACACTAAATGACCTCAGATGAAAAACTCTGAATACTAAGTTTGATCATATCAGCAAGATATACAATTGTTACATAGCTCATTTTCTCATTTGAGAAAGTTTTATCAAACACTAGTCACAAATTCTTGAATCTCATACGAGCGCCGAAACTATATCACACACTTGTGAAATTTGAACTATATTTTATTCAAACTTTCTCAAATGAAAAAATAGCCTATATAAGGATTGTAGATCTTGATGAGCTGAACAAACTTGGTATTCAAAACTTTTCAATTTGAGACAATCTAGGGTTAGAAAACTAGTTTGTAAGCATGAAATTTAAAAATCACAAATTTGAACAGTCCAAACTATCTCAAATGGAAAGTTGACCAAAACAAGAATTGTAGATCTTCATGAGTTTAACAAACTTGGTATTCAAAACTTTTCAATTTGAAGTCATTTAGAGTTCATAATACTAGAGTCAAAGTGTTGTTTTTTCATTTGACCAAATTTGACTTGGTCAAACTTGCTCAAATGAGACACTAAATGACCTCAGATGAAAAAACTCTGAACACCAAGTTTGATCATCTCAGCAAGATATACAATTGTTACATAGCTCATTTTCCCATTTGAGAAAGTTTTATCAAACACTAGTCACAAATTCTTGAATCTCATAGACTGACGCCTACGGAAACTATATCACACACAAGGCTGTGAAATTTGAACTACATTTTGTTCAAACTTTCTCAAATGAAAAAATAGCCTATATAAGGATTGTAGATCTTGATGAGCTGAACAAACTTGGTATTCAAAACTTTTCAATTTGAGACAATCTAGGGTTCCGAAAAATAGTTTGTAAGCATCGAAATTTAAAAATCACAAATTTGAACAGTCCAAACTATCTCAAATGGAAAGTTGATCAAAACAAGAATTGTAGATCTTGATGAGTTGAACAATCTTGGTATTCAAAACTTTTCAATTTGAAGTCATTTAGAGTTCATAATACTAGAGTCAAAGTGTTGTTTTTTCATTTGACCAAATTTGACTTGGTCAAACTTGCTCAAATGAGACACTAAATGACCTCATATGAAAAAACTCTGAATACCAAGTTTGATCATCTCAGCAAGATATACAATTGTTACATAGCTCATTTTCCCATTTGAGAAAGTTTTATCAAACACTAGTCACAAATTCTTAAATCTCATACAGATTTTCTAAAACTATATCACACACTTGTGAAATTTGAACTACATTTTGTTCAAACTTTCTCAAAATGAAAAAATGGCCTATATAAGGATTGTAGATCTTGAATCCATGACCATGACTCCATGAGACCCATGAAAGCAATGTGCTTGGCTATTTCTACTCATGCCATGAAGATTGGTGCTTATATGATGTTTGATGTATGATGTATCGTATATCTTTATCTTATTTGTTGCTTTACTCTTTAGGAAAAGCTTAATCTAGATGGATTATGGACTCATAGAGTGGTGTAATGGTTTTATGACGATGATATATATATATATATATATATATATATATATGCGCTTTGCTTACTCAATATGTAAAGAATAGATATTTGTATTGGACCTTCTCCGAATCCGATATACCGTATTCGATACTCATTATGAAGATCCGTAATGATCAATCCTATTAATATATGTATCCGAAATATTATCGGTGTCCGAATCCGAATCAGAGTAAATATGAAAACAAATATAATATGAGTGATATGATTGAGATCGATCCGTTTTTCATCCCTACTGCAACTGAACCACTCAGCCGCACGGACGATTTAAACACGACGAAAAAAAAAACTCAAACATTACACTATTTGCTATTTGAAAAACAAAAGCACTGTTTGTTTCAATTCCTGCTCATCTCCCTGAATTACCAAAGCAAAAACAGATTAGAAAATTTCACCGGGTTGTTTGGTGAGACACGGATGAGTTGGATGGATGATTTCTCCCTGAGTTGCTTTCACGGGACGGCAACGGCAATTCGGCAAAGTGATGAAATGAAATGGAATCGATCAGTAGAATTGATTGTTTTGAGGTCAATAATCATCTAGAGATTGATTTACAGGTCCGGGAAGTTGAAGTTGGTGCTGCTGAAGAACTCGAGCACAGAGACGGTGGCCGGCGACGGCAAGGTGGGCGTGGACAGCAGCAGGCTGCTGCTGTGCGGGCTCGGCCCGAACGGCGGCGCCTGGTCCAGCGCCAGCCCGGCCGCCGCGGAGGGGAGGAACGGGCTCAGCTCGCTCAGCCATGACAGGCAGCTGGGGTCGAACGGCATCGGCGAGAACAGCCCCGTGGAGGCCGCCGGAGGGAGCGCCGCGGGGGAGAGGATCCCAGGGCGGCCTGCCCCCGCGACAGGCGGGCCGAGCACCGCCGCGGCGAGGCTGTCCGCCACGTCCGCCGAAGCGGAACCGGAAGCGGGGTGGGGCAGCAGGAAGAAGTCGTCGTCGTCGTAGTAGGGAGGGACGTGCGCCGGTGCGTGGTGGTGCGGAGGCAGCGGGCGGACGGACCTCTCGATGGCGGCCAGCCGCGCGGCCGGGGTCAGCGCGGCGGTGGGCGAGAGGAGGAACTCCCGCGGCTCGAACTCCATCGCCGTCGCCGGCTGCGACTGCGACGCCGCCGCGGCGGCGGCGTCGAATTGGGCCTGGGAGGTGGAGCCCGGGCCGGTGAGGCGCTGGACGAGCGCCATGAAGTCCCCCGGCTTGGTGTGGATCACCTTGGGCGAGGCGTCGTAGATGATGACCGGCTGCCGCTGCTGCTGGTGGTGCTGCTGCTGCGCGGCTGGCTGCTGGTGGTGCCGCTGCGGCGCGACGGGCGGCTTCCTGACCTTGTGCGAGTCCTTGCTGACGGCGAGCCGCGGCGGGCGCCGGCCCTGGAGCTGCTGCCGGCTCCGCGGCGACGAGCGGTCGCCCGAGGACGCGTCCATGTACGTACGGGGCTCGCAGCAGGCGGCAGCTGCGGGAAGCTGGAGGAGGAGACGGCGTGCCGGAGCCGGAGCTAGAGGTCGCGAGCCGTACGGGGCTTTGTAGCTGCGGTCTGCGGAGGAGGGGAGAGGCGGGTGGAATGGTTCAACGCCAGGAGGAAGAGACGAAGAGGAGCGATTCTGCAAGTGTGTTGTTGACGACGGCTACGGAAAAGTCTACGGGCAGCAAGGCTGGCTAGGACAGCGCAACCCAACCGTCTCACTATGGCTCTGACAGCTACCTAAAATACAAGAACTATTTATTCTTTAATAGTGTTATAGATAAATGATTTAATATTTATTTTTAATTTTTTTAGCAACATTATTCAAAAGACAACACTTTCTGTAAATGGATCTTTTGAGAAAGCATCCTAGAAATGGTTTCAAATTTAAAAAATCACAAAAAATTTGACGCCATCCATACTATCTCAATTGGAAGATATAAGTATTATATTGGAGATCTATTTTGGTTTTAGGTTTCGCAATAGGTCTCCCGATAGCCTGCTCTATGATTGAGTGTGAAATCATTGAACAGGATGATGATTAATATAAGAGGCGGTCAAATGGTGTATTGATGATCATTTTATCCAAATTTGACTTGGTCAAACGTAGTAAACAAAAGCAAATGACATAGGGCGGCAACGTAATTAATGAAGAAGAGATGAAAAAAATACTAGAAATGGTTTCATCATGAAGAAATCTATTCCTGGGTCTTCTCTTGACCCAACTTATTTCCCATTTGATGAAATCGGATGCGGATTTTATTGGGAAGACTAATCACAAATTCTTGGGCTCATATCGACTTCCATCTGAAATAAGAAGATAGAGTTAGGAGAGAGAAAGAGAAAATAATTATTATTCATAGAAATCATGGGTTGAAAAACAATATTTTTTTGATACGGTATCCTATATTATAGAAATTACTAGTTTTTTTATTGGGACTGCCCTAATACGATTGAGTGCGCTCGCTTGAACAGGATGATTACTATAATAATAAATCGAAATATTACGGTGGTGCAGAGCAGAGCAAAGGAAATCCAAAGCAGCGCGTGATTGAATCCTCGACGACTTTCTTGCATTTGCACCCGTCTTTGCGGCAGGGAGCACCTCGATCGGCTGAACTGAACACGGCAGCGCGACCTGGATTTGGCTTGATGCACTTTTCGTGCTGCCCATGATAGGTAAAGCAGCGCAACGACAAACTACGAGAATGTAATAGGGCGTATTTTGTTTCAAAAGAACATCAAATCATAATTTGTAACCATAAATGATATACTACTACCTCCGTTAAAATATAACCTTATGTATATTATTATCAATATTTAAGACTTTAAGTATAAATATTATAAAAAAATGTATTTCGTGACAAACCACATATGCTGATAGTCTATTCAAAGTGATATCTAGCAAGGAAATGAAAAATATTATTCCTGAAGTAAGGGTACGTCGGCGTGGTCCTCCAGCGTCTCACCTTTTATTCTCGAACGATTCTCTATTATTATTTAAAGCCTACTGCTGGGGAGCCACAGAACATTAACGGCCCGTTTGATCCTTGAATTAAATTTATTCTAATAATTATAATTTAGGTATAGATTAATTAAGGTAATATAGTTATATATAGAATATATTTGTATATTTGCTATTAGGCATAAAGGGACATACTTATATGTTGTATTTCTATTATATGGAAGTGAGTTGAATAGCGTGCTATAAGTTGCAGAATAGAATTATAGCATAGTGATCTATATAATCTATTTCCATCTTCCACCCTATGAATTTGAGATAAGCTTATTTGTGAGCTTGGAAATATTATGGAATGTCAAATTCTAAACTAAATAGTTTAATCCATTATGTAGATTTCAATTTCTCTAAAATAATAGCATCCAAACGACTCCTAAGAGAATGCTGATGGATTTTAAAACAGGCTCTGGGCAAGTAATCAATAAGAAAGAGTGTCCAATCATTTTCTCAAGTAATACAGGTGAAGAGACGAAAAGTATGCTTAGAAAAATTGTACAAGAACGAAAGGAAGCCTACTCTCATTGCCAAAAGGAAGAATTAAAAAAGAGGCCTTCCAATGATTAGTGCCAAGCGAGATGGCGTGACTCATTCACACCAGGGCAGGTGTTGCGACTTAGTCATGCCAACAAAGTTGGCTTAACCTAGGGCGTTTTTGGCATGGCCCCACTCAAGAACTCCAGCAACTCCAGCAAAAATTTCAGCCAAACACCTCAGCTCCAAAATTCCTTGGAGCTGCCAACTCCATGGAGCTGTAGTGTAAATGGGGGTGGAGTTTTGGAGCACCTCTTTTGCAACTCCAGAACCACCTCTTTTGAACCTCCTCGTGGAGTTGGTGGATAATTACCCATCAATGCCACTAGTTACACAAAAAACCGGTTCGTTCTTTTTCTTCGAGACTCCCACGCGCCTGTTTTTCTCCGTCCCACGCTTGTTTCCTCCAACGCCGACTACTCACTTCTTCTCCCGAGCACGGGCGCCACTAGGGTTTCGGCCGCCTCCCACACCGGCGGACGCCATCTACCCACGCCGCCAGCCGTCGGAGCCCCTCCTGGCCGCCCTAGCCCCTCCCGGCCACCGTCAATCCGAGCCCCGCCGCTGTCAATCCTAGCGCGAGCGAGCAGTGCGTGCCGACGAAGCCATCCACGCCCGTCACTAGCACCGACATCCCCGCCCTAGCCACGGACCCCGGCGGCCTCCTTGGCGCGGGGGACGTGCGGATCTGCCGCTCCCAGTGGAGGCCGCCCTAGGAAGCGCCCGTCACCACCACCATCGACATCCCCCGCCGGCCATAGAACAAGGTATTTTTTTAGTTTTGATTCAAAAATTGATTCACAGTATGATTAGAGGTTGGATTTGTGGGAGTGAACTGTGTGCTTTGCAGCAATCCTAGATTCACAGTAGATATTTTGCAATCCAAAATTTGTTGTCTGTACTACAAATATGGACAATACCATTTCAGTGAAGTAGATTAATGGCTTCTAATATGAAATTTGTGAGTTGGATAGATGCCTGAAATTGATTGAAACTCAGAGAACACTTGGGTGCTCTGTATGTTGTTTGCCAAACAAGTTGGAAAAGGAAATCAGCCAAACACACACTTGAATGCACTTGGTTATGCTGAGGTTGAGAAAGGGTTATGAAAGGATCAAGATGCCCAAAAGGAGGGTGAATTGGGCTAATTCTAAATTTTCTTGCAATAAATAACTCATATGGTTAGCCCAATTAACCCCTTGTGCCTAAAAAAGTGTTTCTATTAATATAACACACAAAAAGACTTGCAAGCTACGTTCCAAATTTACTATAGCATGGCAATTCTATGAATGTAAAGACAAGTATTGAATTGATGAAAGTAAATAGAGAGAGAGGAACGCGGCGATGTTTTGCCGAGGTATCGGAGAGTCGCCACTCCCCACTAGTCCTCGTTGGAGCACCCGCGTAAGGGTGTAGCTCCCCTTGATCCGTGCAAGGATCAAGTGCTCTCTACGGGTTGATTCTTCGACACTCCATCGAGGTGAATCACCCACAACCGCTCACAACTTGAGTTGGGTCATCCACAAGCTTCGCCGGATGATCACCAAGCTTCCAATCACCACCAAGCCGTCTAGGTGATGGTGATCACCAAGAGTAACAAGCACGAACTCTCACTTGACCACGACAAGCCAAATGAGAACAGTGGATGCACACTTTGCTACTCTTGCTTCACTAATGAGGCTTCTCTCTTGGATTCTCAAATCTCAATCACCTCACTAGGACCTTGCTCTTCTTGGCACTCACAAACGTGTTTCTCAGCTGTTGGAATGAGCAAAAGTCACTCCACACACGAGTGGAGCTTCTATTTATAACATGGGCTGAAAATGAACCGTTATGTGCCTCTGCGGGGTGACCGGACGCTCCGGTCATGTTGACCAGACGCTCCGGTCAGTTCTCCCCGAGTTCTAGTTTTTACAGTGTGACCGGACGCTGGCAGCGTCCGGTCACGATTTTTGCTCGCTGGAACCTTACTGTAAACGACCGGACGCTGGCTCTCAGCGTCCGGTCACTTGACCTTCCAGCGTCCGGTCGCACCGAACGCAATCTCCTTGGTCAAATGAACTGACCGGACTCTGCACCAGCGTTCGGTCGCATCGAAGCCAGCGTCCAGTCAGTATTTGACCCTCCATTCACTTTCAACTCTCGATCATGTGTGAATGAAGTTTGCTCCATTGGATCTTAGGCATATGTAGGAGCTACCTAGTGCTAGTTTTAACAAGTGTGCACCACACCTAACTCACCAGACTCACCTAGGTCAAGCTACCCGTCCATACCCCCCTTAATAGTACGGCCAAAGGAAAAACAAAGTCCTAAACTACTCTAAGTGTGTCTCCAACTCTAAACGACACTTAGAACTAGTCCATCCTTAACCTTATCATCCATCATTTGAAAACCAAAATGATTTCCATCGTAGGGGCATGACCTCCTTGATTGCCTAATCGATCTCCATTACCATGACCTAACTTAATTGCCTATACAAAACACACGTTAGTCATAGTAATCTTGTATTGTCATTAATCACCGAAACCCTACTAGGGGCCTAGATGCTTTCAATCTTCCCCTTTTTGTTGATTGATGACAATACTACCTCGAGTATGTGAAAGAGTTGATGTTTTTAACATGCTTGGATCATATAAGCTTTTGTCAATAAGAACAAAGGTGCTAGTCAAGCTTATTTGAACCAAACCAACATGATGTACTCAAAAGATATGAAATAAGCATGAGTACAAGTAATAAAGCTCATTTGCATCAGAGTAAGACGCGGAAGCAAAGACAAATGAGCATAGCACAAGTGATATGACATATAAATAAATCAAAGTAGAGAGCACACATGTCATATATCACGGTCACGTAGATATCACTATCACATATATATAGTTCAATGCATGAAAGTAAACACACGATGAATGCAT